AGTGTGCAATCAAGGTGTTCAGAGAGTGCACTAAAAAACCTGTGGAAGAATGAGGATTCATCAACATTTGGACCATATATACTTACAATACATAGCTTTTTGTTAAATACTGATAATTTAATAATAAGGAATCAACCCTCTGGATCTATAACTGTATCGAGTACTATAAAATTAACATTTTTATGTATTAAATTTGCTACTCCCCTTTGTCTGCATAACAGGCTGCAAACACATTAGGAAACTAATGTTTTAAGTTCGTTTAAACCTGTGACAGGCCTGTCAGTCTCTTATAATAAAACAACATCTGCCTGTAGTTTTTTTTTAAGCTGGTTAAATATCTTTAACATTTTTTCTCTGGTGCCAGCTCCATTTCCATTCCATGTGACAAACCTTAGTGTGCCCATAATTGTGTGTGTATGTCTAGTGATGTACGCTGGGTGTTTAGTTTAGACGAAGAGAATGTAGAGACATCACTTGTTTGTAAATAGAAAGAGAAAACAAAATGTGTGGTGAGAGGCTCCATTAGTCTGACTATGTGTGTGTATATTCACTAATATGAACAAGCATGACTTGCGTGTGTGTCCTATAAGTCTGTGTGTGCTGTGAGACTGTTGTAAATGTGCTGCCGTTGAGCACATGTTTTTTGCGTGATCGTGGTGTGTGAATATGCAGAAATAGAGGGTGTTATTTGTAGGTGAGTGGGGAAGTAGGTGATCACAGCAGTGAAAGAAAAGAGAAAGAAAAACCACGAGAACAGTGAGCGACAACAACAAAAAAGAAAAGAAACAGAAACATTCCAATTAAAGCAATGACGGAGGGTGACGGTGTTATATCGGCTATGACATCATACTGATATTACAAGGTTAAACCCATGTTAAAGGAGAGAGTGTGAATGAATAAGAAAAGAGTGTAGCGGGTTCTTATCTGGAGTGCAGTCAATATAACCACGGAGTGGTGCCGGGGTCGCGGTAGAGCTGTCCGTCCACGTAGAGCCAGTGTTCCAGATCTACTGGCGTTTAGATCTACTGGCGTTTAGATCTACTGGCGTTGGTCGAACAGATGTGTGGCAGTCTTGCGTTTCAGGAGCTGCTACCGACAAACCAGCAAAAAAACGCCGAATGTGTCATCTGTGACACTTGTGAGGTTATCTCAAACACACTCCATCAGTCTTGATGCTGTTGAACAACAAAATGTTTAAAAATGTGGCGAGTTTACCTGGTGATATCCTCATGCGCGACGCGATCCCGAAAACAGCAAACAATTAACACCACGCCAATGTTGTTCACAGGACAGCAGGAGTAAACGATCGGGAGACTCTTGTCGTCGTTATTGTCCCCCTCGCACGTTTTATTTCTCCGGTTTCACGGTGTTTGCTTCACAACTAAAGCGTGCAGTTTACTTTGTGTGCACTAACATGGACTTGAATCAACCAGTGCCACCTCTGGCCAAGTGCCACAGCCTACAGCCAGATCAACTTGTGACACACATCTGCAGTACGTTTGAATTTGTTTCATGCACAATGCATTTGTACCTTTCAATTGTGTCTGTTTGTGTGTCATGCAAATAAACCTTTGAGATGAATGAAATGACACTAATATTTCACTAGTGTTGTAACATCACATGTTGTTAGCGTAGTCTGCCTGTGTCTTTTCTCTGCAAACAAACATTTTAGAGTTGGTTGTTATATACAGTCTGTATAAGTATGGTTAATCTAATGAACATTTGTAAGGAGGTGGCAGTTACTGTGAATGTACAGCAGGTGATTAGTAATAAACAGTCAGACAATGACTCTGACAATCTCTTTCAATCTTGCAGATTGAATGCACCTTCTGCGGAAAGTGGTACCACACAGTGTGTGTGGACTTCCCCTGTGCAGAAGGCAACTACAAATGTTGTGGGTGCTAAATAAACAGAAAAAATTGATCCCTGTTGTCTTTGCTTACTGATTGTTTTTAGTGTTGACAATCCACATTGCTGCCATTGCATCTTTCAACATGTTTGTGGGTAGATTTGGATGTACCAGGGGTACCAGATGTTTCCCAAGTTAATCTAGTAGTAGGCTATGGTATTTGGCCACAGGGGGTGGCAGTGGACTGATCTCCATTGGAGACTGCTCCAGCTGCTATGTGATAGTGGATCTGCTACCAATTGAAGATCATATGCAAGTTTTGGAAATTAACCCTTGTATTATGTTGAAAAACAAAAAAATGACATTGATTTTGTTGCGGGTCATTTTGACATAAACGCCAGTAGATCTAAACGGCAGTAGATCTGGAACACCGGTCCACGGCGATGACGGCGCGGGAGCCTCTCTGGATGAAGCTACGTCGAACTGGGAACAGGACCTTGCGTCGTTCCAGGATCTCTTTGGGGAACTGGTAGTTCACGCTGAAGTCCATTCCTTTCAGCTCCCAGCCGCGACTCTTCACCTGTTCCTTCTGTTTGAATTGGCCGAATTTGGCCACAATTGGACGTGGTCTCCCAGTCGGCGACCTCACGGCCCCCAAGCGATGCACTCTTTCGAAGGCGATGTTCTTTACGGTGTCCTCCGGCAGCTTCAGGTGGGTTTTAATGAAGCTTTTCACCGTTGCTTCCGTGTCCTCTCCGGCAGATTCCGGAATACCAGAAAACACAAGGTTGTCTCGCATGCTACGGGCTTGTAGATCAATAGCGGATTCTTTAATTTTTTTATTTTCTATGTTTAACTGGATCACGTTATCGGTTAGAGATTTGACCGACTCCCGTAGCGTGGCAGTTTCAGCGGCAAGCATTTCCACCTGCTGCTGGCTGAATTCCAGGGATTCTTTGAGAGATTTAAATTCCCAGTGTGAAATCTCCACCAGGGACAGCCTCGCATCGAAACTGGACAATCGCTTGTCGATTGACTCCAGGATGTCTGCAATGTCTTTGCCAAACCATCCTGCTTTGGCAAAACGTCCTACCATAAGTAGTTTATGCACATTTCTGCTGTCACAGAGTAATTCCAGCACAAATTTAAGTAGGTATGACGGTTTGCCACTTAACTTTGCCCATCAGAGTATGCTTGTAGCTCATATGCATACAGCCAGGATGGTTTGCCACTTCATTTTACCCGTTAAAGTATGCTTGTAGGTAACATTCACAAAGGTAGGTTGGTTTGGCAGTTAATTTTACCAGTCAGAGTATTTTTCTAGCTAATATTCACAAAGGTAGGACAATTTGCCACTGAATTTTGTGTTGTGCGCATGCGCAGAAACAACGGGTAGGATGGTTTGCCAGGTAGAATGGAATCCCAGAACACCGGCAGGCAATGTTGTGCCGGGGGAGTCTGCCGGGCGACATCTATTCGATGACGGTGTCTCAATTTTGGCTGGGGAAGATGCACTCTGAGTCTTCTTCATTACTAAAGCACCGGTCGATGTAATCTTGGAGAGCATCGAAACTCTCCCCGTTGTCCTCCAGGGTGTTAGACATGATAGGACAGATGTTGTTAGTTATATGACAATTGATTAGTTTATTTGGCAATACTGAAGCTTAAAGAAACTTTGTTAAATTCTATGCTACCATTCGCTTTTTTTCCGCTATATCTCAGGCGTCTGACGTCACCTACAACATGGGTCGCTTACCTTTTCCCGTCACTTCCCTCGCTAATTTCTAAGGACATTTAATGACAAAGACACACACACACTTAAACTTGACAATCTTGCTCTTTTTCTCTATCACATTCGCACACACATACACCAATATCAGAATAAGATTGTTGATTGCATTTTCGAATTCTTGTGTTCCAGGTGTCTGTTTCTCTTACAAGCTTCTGCCTGTCCTGAAAACCAAGATACACAACAGTGCAGTTCAGACCATAATTCTAATTTCCGAAGCAGCCAGGCAGGACAGCCAAAAAAAGTTAAATAAATTAAAAAACAAAGAAAAAAAACAAAACAGTTTTTTAAAAATCAGCAACAGTATGATGGCACATAGTCACACGATGCAAAGTCTGAAGTAATAGTAGTTCAAGCTACCAGACAGACAACTTGCGTATCTTACACTCAGAGATAAAGACTTTATATAAAGGACCCGATGATTCCACAGGTTTATTTGGCAAACTGATTTTTTTTTTACTCTCACATATGTATATACTTCTGTGACTATACACTTTCCAGTGGGCTCCAGCCCACTGTTCTCCACTCCAAACCTTACATACCTCTTCTGGGCCTCAGCAGCTACTGAAATAGGGAAGGCATGATTAGCATGATGGATCTCAGTTGTGCCAGGCAGCCTTCCACATCACTGTCCCCTAAACCCACTGCTCCGCCCCTCCCCTGTAGCTGAGCCACAAAACACACCCTGCCACAGCAACATGCTCATTATTTTGCACAGAAATGACAAATTAATGTATGCATACCACTAATGACAATTTTTAAAAATTTATTTAATTGACTTTAATCTGTCAAAACATTTCAAATGAAATTAAGAATGGTGATGTTTATACCCATTTTGAACTTTAAATATAGTTTAAAATTTGAACTTGACTTAGAATGCACAGGTTTTGACTTTGAACTTTGCCTTCAGTCACAGTGAAAACTAAAAATGACCTTACTGCACTTCAGATTTTACAAATGGATTCACAGCCATACTTAACTCATTTCTTGACTGATTCTGTATTTAATTGTGTGTGCCGCCCAGGTGGGAACTATCGTGGTGTATTTGCCCTGGGTCTGGTCCAGGGTGAGTGGAAGATGTATGTAAAGGGCCCACTCGACAGGGAAGAATGCAACCTATACAACATCAACGTCACAGCTAGTGATGGATTGTTTGTTTCCCAAGCAACAGTAGAAGTGACAGTGGTAGACACCAATGACAACAGCCCAATCTGTGACAAGGTGAGAAATAAAGTTGTGTATTGTTTTGTTTTGTTTTTCTACGTAACTGATTTGGCATAACTAGTTGTGTCCGTGTGTGTGTGTGTGTGTGTGTGACTGCAGGTTATGTATACTGCCTACATTCCAGAGGACCTCCCAGTCACTAGTGTTTTGTTGAGGGTTGGAGCTACAGATGCTGATATGGGTATCAGTGCTTGGATTCAGTACTCTCTACATGGTCCTGGATCCCAAGACTTCACTATTGACCCAGACAGTGGTATGGATGCAGACCAACTTTAAATACACACTTTTTCTCTGAATTAGCATGAATCGCAACTTAATCATACACAAGCCAAATGTCATCCCCCCGTTTGGCTCCATCACAATGTTTCATATCTTGTTTTAAACCTGTCCAGGTGAGATCAAGTCATCTGTGCCTCTGGACCGTGAGATGACACCTAGTTATCAACTGGTTGCCCAGGCTACTGACGGTGGTGGGCGGTGGTGCCGTGCTGTGGTGTATCTGACAGTAACTGATGTGAATGACAATCCACCTATTTTCACCCAGTCTCAGTACACCACCAGCGTCTATGAAGACACAGTCACCAAAGCTCTACTTACACGTATCCAGGCCATAGACCCCGATGAAGGTGATACACTAGGCAACTGTTTATATTATCACTACTACAAGTACTGCTTCTATTGCTAATCTGCATCACAAGAAACCAATTACTCAAGGTGCAACTAATGGAGCAACATCAAAAAAAATTAGCAGTATTTAATATAAATGAGATACACAACATACCTAATTGAAATTTGGCTCTTTCTGAAGTGCTCAAGCTTTCCAGCACTCCTTTTGGATCACTCCCCGGAATTCTCACAAAAACACAAAAAATGTGAAAAATGTCATTAAGCATGATACAGATCATGCTTGCGACCTGATGTGTCTTCTCTGGGTTTGAACCATGAGGAAGAGTTTGGTCATGCTGAAAATGAAAGTTGGATTAGATTGACACAGAGGTCCTTGCTTGTGGACTGTTGTGAACTTGCTTTCATCAAGCAGTGTGAAAATAGCAACCTTCATGCTGGAAGGCACAAATCATTTCACAAGGAGACAACCTTTAAGGAAAAACCATTTTGAAATATTTTTATCAGCAGGGCTGCACATAAGTGGTCCGCAGGTGCACATTCGCTGTCAAAATAAAAGACGCGCACCAGATAAGAAGTTGGAACGCGCGTTTGTGTACATAAGATGTTCTGGAGGAGGACAGACATTTGTTCAGAACTCTTAAAGCTGTCGAAGAAGCAAGCTCCACAAGCAATTACTTTGGTGTTCCTCCACCGCAAAAGAAGCGCGTATTCCCGGAAATTCCGAGAAATTCCGTAAGCAAAGTAATTGCTTACATCTTTAAAACATCGACATCTTTAAGAGTTCTGAACAAATGTCTATCCTCCTCCAGAACATCTTATTTACGCAAATCCGCGTTACAGCTTATCTGGCGTGCGTCTTTTATTTTGACAGCAAATGCGTACCTGCGGACCACTTATGTGCAGCCCTGTTTATCAGACATTTCCAGACACGTTAATTCAAAACCTGCATGAAGTGAAAGAAGCTAATGCAAAACCAAACAGTTCTTTTAGAGAAAAATAGTAACGGGGAAATGTTAATATAAAAGCTTACCTAATATACTGTAGTGCTAAAAAGAAGTTAAACTAATTGTATACAAATTTTGAAGTGCTTAAAATATTCAGTCTAATAGTTAATAGAGTTTTATAGAGGTTTTATGTCAGGCCACTATTAAATAAATTTTTTATAACTGGGTATAAATCTCATATCGTCTCCTACAAAAAATAACAACATTTGGTAAGAAGACAAATCCAAGCACTGGCAAACGTGTTGTTTTCAGTATACTGAGGCCCAAAGCTTCACCCTTTTCTTTTGACATTGCTGTAGGTCCGGGGCGTATGGTGATCTATTCCCTGGCTGACTCTGCAGGAGGATTTTTCTCTATCGACAAATACTCAGGCATCGTGGTCCTGGAACGAGTTCTCGACCGTGAAATCCAGCCATTTTATCAGATAACAGTTTGTGCATCTGATCAAGGCTCACCACTCCCACTCTACTCACTGGTCAATGTCACAATTACTGTCCTGGACATCAATGACAATCCACCTGTGTTTGAGCGACGTGATCAGTTGGCATCTGTGCCAGAAGATGTGGGAGTAGGTACTGAAGTTCTGAGAGTTTACGCTGCCAGCAAGGACATCGGGACTAATGCTGAGATTACTTACAGTATCCGATCAGGGAATGAGCACGGAAAGTTCCACATTCATCCACTCACTGGTGAGTGAGGGACACCCTCTCACTTTGTGTAGATGTTACAGTATTAGTCTGTGCTTTTCATTGCTCTTACAGTTTCTAAGATGTTATATATCTGTATCTTTCTCTAACTTGATCTCTATCAGCTTTCACTATGCTATGTTGACTCACAACATTATCTGTTGTTCTTAGGGCCATTAAAAATCTGTCACAGATTTTCATCATAAGGTAGAATGTGCATGAGCATCAGTGAATATCAAGGCTTGGCTATACAAATTGCCCATCAATATTGTAATTATAACAATAATAATAATAATGATAGTTTATTTGTACTGCACTTTTAAAAACCAGGGTTACAAAGTGCTTTTCAGAAACAATGAAAAAAGAACAATCAAAGGATAAAAATAAGAAATCAATTAAACTATTTATGCAGCACTCAAGTCTAATCTTAAAATCAGAATAAGATACAATTGTAATTTAATGTGGTTCCAGTTTTAGTGAGTAAAAAAACAAAACATGTTATATATTTTAGGTTCTTCAAAATAGCCACCCTTTGCTTTGATTACTGCTTTGCATACTCATGGCATTCTCTTGATAAGCTTCATGAGGTAGTTACCTGAAATGGTTTTCCAACAATCTTGAGGATTTTCCAGAGATGCTGACAACCATCTAGCAGAGCACTCCATCACTCTCCTTGGTTAAACAGCCCTTACACAACCTGGAGATGTGTTTGGGGTTTGTCCTGTTGAAAAATAAATAATGGTCCAACTAGAGTTGGATGTCTCGAGACCACTTTTACGTGGTCTTGGTCTCGACGGACTTTGGTCTTGGTCTTCTTTTGGTCTCGGATCCCTCGGTCTTGTCTTGGTCTCGTTGTCTCGGTCTTGCTTTCTCAGATCGACACAGTGCTCGGGAGATTTGGAGTCAACCATCGGCGGGGCGGGGGGTGGCTTACTGGGCTTAAGCCCGGGTCATTTTTTCAGAAGCCCGGGGTCTTTTGGAGTGTAATTTGTTTCATAGTTAGATGCCTGACTGACAACTGTGTAAAACAAAAACTACACACAATATTCCAAGCAAATAGCGCACAGTCATAAATTCCCCCTAATTCTCGTATGATCCGAGCTCAGGCACTAGGCGACTGAGCACAGCACTTATCCATGTGAGCGAGCGGGGAGAAGCTGCTGCCTGCGAGTTTGCTGTTGGAGAAGTGCAGACAGAGGAGAGCTTAAGTTTGACCAGGTACCAAAGCAAATCATTCTTACTGTACAAATAATGTAAATATGACGGTGTATCACAAAAGATTGATATCAAACTGATCACTTGAACCATATTACGTTACTTGCTCTTTGAGTGAATCAACAAATGGCGAAATGAAAAGCTGAACAACAATGCTGCTTTTTTAGAGAGTCTTCGCTTACATGTGTGGTTATTTCATATTTTCAGTTGTTAGCCTAAAAAAAGCACTCTAAATCGGTTTCAGTTATGTACTGATGAACATAACAATAGACATAAGGGGCTTCTTTCAAAGAAAAAACTCAGGTAGATGTTATTTTATATATTATGCTTTGTATGTTGTTCAGTATATTTCTATTTTTTTTACTGTTAAACATGAATTTAGAGTAAACTTGTTTTGTTTTAGATAAATAAATATTGAAATATATTTTGAATTAGTTAAATGACAGAATAAAGAGAGACAGAGAGATGTCTATTTTTTTTTTAACTTTCATCAAATTTAGGAGTACATATACACATACACTAAGTTTATTGTTAATTAATAAGAAAACTGCAGACGATTCCATTCTGAGCTTAAGAAGCTTCTGATAGGTTTGTAGAGTCCATGTGAGTAAATTGGTGGTACACCTGTGGTACACCTGTAGAGCCTTTTTCTTAGACATGGGAAAATCAAGAGATGTCAACCAAAACTCCAGGAAAAGAATTGTGGAGCTCCATAAGTGTGGCTAAATTTTGAATACAATTTGGGTGCCATTTGCAATTAAGAAATACAGAAAATTTCTCTCTTTACTCTTAAATTTAACAAATATGTTTTTTATATTTATCTAAAAAATAAACATTTAGTCTGATTTGATGTGTTGGGAAGCACTAATGTAACAAAGTGTTCCGCAGGTTTCCTCTGTGGTGGCCATCTTGTTTTCCCAGTAAAAAGGAGGCCTGCCTCAATTGCACCTCTTTTATAGGCCAGTCTGAATTGAGAAGGCGTGGTCTTTAGAGTATTTAAAGTGGGCAGGAAATGGATTGGGGACCATTTTTGAGAAGTTGCTGTCTGTATGTGCATGATATTGGCAAGAGGCAATAAAGGACATTGGAGAGTGGCAGCTGAAATGTGTGGCTTACACTGGCAACAACATGAGAAAACAGACCCCTGCTCCAGACAAACAAGAAAAAGATCCATTTGAGGTGGATCTGTCTCATGTGTATATAGCCTACACAGAGGAGAGTATGCAGCAGTCGCTGATGAAACTAGAGAGGCCCAGGACCTCTAAAAGTAGCAAGCCATCAGGCTCCGTACGCTCTGCAGGTTCACAGTTTGGGCAGCGGTTTGATCCCTCTGTCGTCTCTGCTGGAGTTTAACTGTGAACATCTTGGGTCCAATAATCTGGACTGTTCATATTACAGAAAACCAAGGGAAGAACCCATATCTCCTCTTCACTGTGTGTGAATGGGTGGATGACTGGATGTGTAAAGCGCTTTGGGGTCCTTGGGGCCCCTTAAAGCACTATATAAATACAGGCCATTTACCATTTACCATTTCACCTAAAGGCCCTTTTCCTAGAGTAACTACTCGGATCGACTCGGCACAGTTCACCACATTCTTCAGGGTTTTCCATTAGGTTACAGTACCTGGTTCTAAATCATCCTCATCAGCCATTGCTCCTTCAGGTGGTGGTCATTGTTTGCCTGCCTTCTCTTTCTTCCATGTCAGCAATGGGGCTTTTCCTTGTCCCACGGTTTCTTCCACGTCCTACACCTCTCATTTAGCATGTTTTCTCCTTCATTCACAGGCGTAACCAAATCCCACTCCTGACACCACTGTTACGCAGAGAGGTGTGGTGAGGGAAATATCAGACTTCACTCTATCTTAACTGAAGTAATTGCTTTATTGCCTCTTGTCAATATCATGCACATACAGACAGCAACTTCTCAAAAATGCCCCCCCCCGTGTGTGTATATACATATATATATATATATATATCCATCCATCCAGGCGCTGGAGCCTATCCCAGCTGTCATAGGGCGAGAGGCGGGGTACACCCTGGACAGGTCGCCAGTCTGTCGCAGGGCTAACACACAGGGACAGACAACCATTCGCACTCACATTCACTCGCACATTCATACCTAGTGGCAATTTAGATTTTATATATATATATATATATATATATATTTGAGACAGAGAGAGACAGATAAACTTCAACTTTATTTGTTTTTAAAAAGCTTTAGATAATTCACTTATGAGTTGAGGTTAGGCAGGCCATTCCCATTCCACAACTGAGGAGCTCTAATGGCAAATTGGTTTACGTGTTAGGTGGGAACAGTTAGCAGGTTTCTGCCTTCGGATCTAAGACTGTACACTGGTTGATACAGGAGTGGTTGGAGCTGCAGTCTCTCTATCAAAGTTTGATAGTTTATTGTATAAAATATTGCAATAGGTTAAGTAGTACAAAAATAGAGCATTCGTCTATATTAGTAGTTCATCTGTAAACCTCATAAGTACATTCTCAGTACTATGATAATGTCTAAAGCATGACTGAAATTCAGAATTTCAGAGATGTTGTTCTGACATAATACTTCAGGAAAATGAGGACAGAGCATCTTCTCCAAGAGTTTTGCTATAAGTAAGTGGTCTGTAATTAATTTAGTCAGAAGAAAGGCCATAATTTTGGACGAGTCCTGTTGCTTCCTATTTATTCCTATCTTTCTATTCCCTCCCGCTCTGTTGATCTGCTATACAGTACATCGTACAGGAGCAGTACTTCTAGTAAATGTTCTAGCTGAATATTTACTTAACTTTCTCTCTCCTCTAACCAATGCTCTTACAAAAATTCCACCATTTGGTTCGGGGAATATCACCACGACAGGCACCAACTACCTTGTGGCCGCAGCTCAGTGCAGCAGTTTCGGCAATGGAGGTGCTGAAACATGGTCTATTCGGACTCCATGTCCCCAGTCTCCCTCGGAATGCTGTTGAAGCTCTGCCAGAGGTGTGAGTTGAAGATCTTGCGGACCGGAGCCTCTGCTAGGCGTTCCCAGCACACCCTCACTGTACATTTAGGCGCACCAGGTCTGTCCTGTGCTGTGTCCTGATCCAACTCACCACCATGTGGTGATCAGTTGACAGCTCAGCCCCTCTCTTTACCCAATTGTCTAAAACATATGGCCTCAGGTCTGGTGATACGATTACAAAATTGATCATTGACCTGTGGCCTAGAGTGTCCTGGTGCCACGTGCACTTATGGACACTCTTATGTTCGAACATGGTGTTCGTTATGGCCAAACTGTGGTTTGCACAGAAGTCCAATAACAAAACACTACTCTGGTTCAGATCCGGGAGGCCGTTCCTCCCAATCACACCCTTCCAGGTCTTGCTGTCATTGCCCACATGAGCATTGAAGTCTCCCAGTAGGACAACGGAGTCCCTATGAGGAGCACCCTCCAGTGCCCCACCCAGGGACTCCAAGAAGGCTGGGTACTCTGAACTGCCGCTCGGAGCATAAGCGCAGACGACGGTCAGGACCCATTCCCTGACCCGAAGGCGAAGGGAAGAAACCCTCTCATCCACTGGGAGAAACCCCAACATACCAGCAGCAAGCTGAGGGGATACCGAGATACCCACCCCGGCCCGCCGCCTCTCACCATGGGCAACTCCAGACTGAGACAGAGCCCAGCTTCTATCCAAGAGGCTGGTTCCAGAGCCCAGGCCATGCATTTAGGTGAGCCCGTATATATCTAGCCAGTACCTCTCAACCTCACGCACTAGCTCAGGCTCCTTCCCCATTCCATGTCCCAGTTGCCAGTCTTGGTAGCCAGGGTTCGGTCTGTCAGGACCTCCGCTCCTGGCTGCCGTCCGGCTCACATTGAACCCGATCTCTACCTGGCTCCAGGGCGAGGCCCCGGTAACCCTATCCCGGGCAGGGTGAACTGTTCCTATGATGGTCTTTTCATAGGGGTCTTCTGAATCGCTCTTTGAGTTGTCATAGTAGCAAATATACAACAAACAACAAGCACTCATATAAAATGAGTTATAATGGATAAAGACTAAGATAAATGGATTATTATGGAAATATTGAGATATAGGTATAACTATGAATATAAAAGGACAACTATTTGTGCAACTATGTAGTGGTATTAAAAAGTGACACGGTGCATTAAGGTTTGATTAATTCTGTTCCACATGTGTGGGTCTGACTCAAGTGGAAGAATTACAGAGTCTGATAGCAGCAGGAAGGAATGATCTCCTGTAACGTTCCATCGGACAGCAAGGTTGAAGGAACCTATTGCTGAAACTGCTCTTCAAGTCATCCAGTGTGTTATGGATAGGGTGGGTGTCATTGTCCATGATTGCCAGCAGTCTTGTCAGCCTTCTGTTGCTGATCACCTCCTTCAGGGTGGCGAGCTTTATGCCAACAACAGACTCGGCCTTCCTGATGAGTTTGTTCAGTCTGTTTGCATCCTTTGCTTTGATTCCTGCACCCCAGCATTTTTGAAATATCCTCATTAAAAAGAAAAGCAAAAGTAAAAGAAAGGTTGCATATTTCAAATATTTTTTAATCTTCTTTATCTTTATCTTCATCTTCTTTATCTTGTAAAATTTTCATTATCAATTCAATTATTTTTCCTTGCCCATTGCCCTTGGTCTGGATCTCCATTCAAGATCTTGGCTCATTGGGTGAGGATGATCATGAAAAACGTGGTTGATCTACCCAAAACTAAAGGAGGTGATTCGAGAATGACTTTATGTAAGCCACCGCTCCTCCATTTTGAAAGGAGCCAGTTGAGCTGGTTTGAGCATAAGGATGCCTCATTGACACCTGGTAGGTGGTGTGTTTCAGGCATGTCCTACTTAGGGTTACCCTAACCCAGGGCTTACTGGAGACAACAGATCTGTCAGCTGGCTTGGAAGTGACTTGATGTGGAAGTTGGAAGAGTTAGCCGGGGTAAGGGACTTCTATATTTAGACTGCTGCCCCCAGTGACCCAAACTTGGATACGTGGCAGAAATGGATGGATAGATGGATGAAAAATACTTAATTATGGTACACATGTCCTTCTAGAATTTACCAAATGTGTAAATGCCTTCTATTTAAGGGTTTTAAATAGAAGGCTGTATAAACTATATAATGATGGTAAGTATTTATAGCAACAATATGAGCTCAGAAAGTAGAGCAGGTGATCCAATCGCTATAAGGCATTTCCCAACCTCTCACAATCCGCACAAGACCTCCAACTGGTCAGTGCATTTGGCGGTGTGTAAGAGTGATTTGTTATCGATTGTAGGTATAGAATAAAATAAATGAAGTGTTGTGTGAAATGGCAAATTTCGCTTATTGCTTTAAGGAGTCAATATGATTAGTAAAGCAATTTATGCCTTTTGTTTTGTTCCCAGTTTGTTAACATTTTGAAATTCCAACCCATTACAAATGTCTATAATTATCTTCTCTTCCCCTTTCCCTTTCTCTTATTCAGGTGCCATTTTAGTTGCCCAGCCTCTTGATTATGAGACCTGCAGAGATTACTTCCTGACAGTAGAGGCTCGTGATGGTGGCACGCCCTCTTTGAGTGCCATTACTACTGTGAACATAGACCTAACAGATGTAAATGACAATCCACCCATGTTTAGCCACAGTGTCTACACTGCAGTGGTGTCAGAGGATGCCACTGTTGGCGAGCCTGTTGTTCAGGTATGTTTAAAGAATTAGTCAGGTTTTCACTGCATGTATGTCTGAAGTAGTCGACTAGTCACTAATTGCAACTAGACTAATTTAATAGTTGACGCGTTGTTTGAAGTTTTGTAAGATCCTGAAAGACAAAGGAATAAGTAGTAGGATTGAAGAGTGTAATAATGCACTGAAACGGAAGATGGCAGCAATGCATGTACAAGGATGCAGGCTGCCAATAAATGCCAAAGAAGAAGAAGCAGTCTCTGGTATCGTAGCTGTGTCCAAATTTAGGGGCTGCACCCTTCGGAGGCTGCATTTGTAGGCCGATTACATTACAGCAGGGGTAGGCAACCTTTCTGATGATGAGTGCCATCTAAAATTTCCTCAAAAGTCAATGTGCCATATGATTGCATTAGCAATAAATTTAATAACGCTCTATATCAACAGTTACACACTATATAGAACAACTTTATAGTATTATATTTGTTCGCATATGTTGGCAGCTATCTGCGAATAGTTATCAGCTACTTTGAAACAAAAAAAAGGACACTTTTTCCATAACAGCAAATGAACTGTACAACAGAAAATCCAACAAATGCTATTTATGGTCTCCTCACAACAATGATAAGAAAAATAAACTGGGCCAATATGGCATGTTTGTTAATACAAGGATACACGTTTATGTGATCTCAGGTCTCCCACTCAGAGACACAGGTCTCAGAATATAGGCGCAAGTATAACTTGTCAGGTAGTGATGTCCAGCAGGTGAAAATGCAAGCTCCATGAACACGCACAGCTATAGATTCCAGCTGCGTTCGTAGTTCTGCAAACTTTGACCCCCACAGAGTCAAGGTTTTCACTTCAATCAGCTGCATTTTGATGTCCTCTGTGTCCAGCCAGTTAATGTGAGGCAAATCCAGCTGCTCATTAAAGCTTTCTGGTTTGATCAGAAAAGAGAACATTGGTCCATACGCCTGAAAGTCACGAAAACACATTGTGAATTCTGTCTCAAGTCTACGGATGTATCCGTGTATTTACGTGGTGCTAATGCTGCGCTGAGCAGACAGCTCCTGAAGCTTTTGAGGTTTTGGAAATTTCGACATCACTTGCAAAAACTGCCAGCTAGCACGTCCCTCTCACCACTAAGTTATTTTTAGCCAATTACAAGTTGAATCTCGTAGTTGGGGTTGTTAGCTAAGATACCGTCATTAAGAAGCGGCACAACTTATGTGTCTATGCAAGCTAATTTGCGATGCACTGCTGGCCTGGCCATTTATTTTTTAATACACCTTCTCAGATTAATTCACTGCTTGTCACACCCAGGGCTGGACTGGGAAAAGACTAGAGACCAGCCCACCAGGTATTATAGGAAAAGCCATAAACTTAGCCATAACTTTGGTTGTAAGATTCAAATAACTATTTAATAAAAGCTAGACATTTTAAATGAGAATAAGAAAGAAAAGTATTTCTTTGTGCCCCCCTTTCCCTGTTAATGCCCTACCTGGCCCCACTGGCAAAACTTTGCTAGACCCGCCCCTGCACAGTTACCAGCTGTCAGCTACTTAGAAAAGGATCCTCGTGTTATTTGTCTCTCAGAAACAGTTCATAACTTGCCTTCAACTCATTCATGTCACCTAAAAGTTAAACCTGTTTCTCCATCACCAGTTCAGCTCTGATGATTCAGTAAGGACATCTCATGGTTAGGACCAGCCAGCTTTACAGCTGTGGCTCCAGCAAACGTCAGCTGATACTAGAAAGTAATATTAAATAAATTGTAACAACACTGCTGTTGATTAGCGCATCTGCTGGTTTTCTCTTTCTGGCGCAAAGTGGGAGATAAACAAACAAGAGAGACAGGACTTCCGACAGAAAAGACAATCAGTTGATCATTGATCAGTTTAATAATTGAAGTAGCAACAGGAGAGGAAGGGGGTGAGAATGACAGAAGAAGAGGCAGCTGCAGCGTAAAGATGCGGAATAACTCCAGCTTTGTGTCTTTTTCATTGTAGCTGAAGTACAGGACAAACTGCATTCCTTTTCACCTCAATACGAAATATTTTCTCTAAATACGAGACGATTCCCTTTTTTAGGGGACGGTTGGCAACTCTAATAATTAACCTTATGAAGAAAATAAAGTTCACTATCAGTAACATCATAGCACCCACCCAGCTGTATAGAAACTCCGTCATGCTAGCTAGTACCCAGTACAAAAAAGTCAGCATAACAAAAAAATAATACACCTTTATATCTGACCCAGATATCTGACCCAGATAGACTGCAGGTCATAACTTCTTACCTGAAGTTCAGTTCACCTGACACTCAGACGGCGTCCGCCTCGGGCCGCCTTGTACTTTTCCTCATCCACCTGCTGGCCTCCACCACTTGCTAATGTTACGGAATCTGTGAAAGCTCCGCGATAGCCACCACACAAAGTAACAAATAACGACCCTATCTAAATCCCAGTAACTATTAACGCATTCCTGATTTTGGCATAATAACTAGTTACCGTGCTCTTTACCACAATAATAACGTACTTACTGTAACGCGTACTTAATAACGCATTAGTCCCTACACTGGTCACGACTCACTCGATAAAGCCTATCATTCAATATGAGAAAGCACGGGTAGGTCCGCTCGGCTTTAGGACGCACCAGGTGACCATCAACTACTATCACTTGATTGAAGGCTGAGTATAGGGTGTCGTCCTGTATGGCTTTCTTAGCCCTTGCTAGCTGATGGTTAATGTCCTGCTTAAGTGCGTTTAGCTCTTCTTTCATAGTTTTATTAAAATTGTCCTTAAAGTAAGCCAAGGTCCGACTTTAGTTTGGCCTTTAAGTTACTGATTTGTCGGCTGATTACCTTAATTTCCCCATGTAGGGACCAGCAAAGCCTGCCACTTCTCCACCACCATGTTCCCTATTCATGCTAGCATGCTCTTCTTCTTGTGTTGAGACTACCTTCTTTGTACTCCCAGACATACTGTCTAAAAGAGAAGTTGTCAAATCAAGTATTTATTTGAATTTTAGGGGGAAATTCTGCTCTACTATCGGGAGTTCAGGTTTAGTCAGCCATCTCGCTCTAATGCCAACTGGAAGCCACAAAGCAGCTGTTCAAACGTCATCACCCAGAAAACTGCCCTTTTGAGGCGTTCCCACTCTGAATAGTGAGAGATAAGCTTGTTTAGTGGATATTAATGCACTTCTGTAACATCCATACTCATTACCTCTTTGATTTCAAAATATTTTTTCTGTATTTCTCTAATGATTTTGACATTTTGACATTCTGTGAAAGGACGCTGTTTTTCACAGCATAGAATATCGTATAGTATATACTGTATATACACATATACAGTATATACATGGCTTTTGGAAGCCACTACTAGTATGAAAAGAGGAGTTTTTACTAATTTAAGGTGGCTTTTCATTTGCACCTTGTGATACACTTGTTGCAAATCTGCTTCCCTTTGGCCAGGGTGCTCTGTTCATTCTCACATTAACATATGATTTTGCTTAATCAGCATCCTTAATGGTGCCAAACAAAGGATCTGCAGCTGTTTTCGCTTGTCTGTTTATGAATCTGATCAGATCTGTACACTTTACTCTCCTTCTACTTGTTTCTTGAATGCCAAAGGCAGAAACTCTGCACATTTCTCTCATTTTATATGGCAGCTTCGACACAATAACTCTGAGATTAGTGGAGTTCTCAATCTTTTGTAGGTGACTGATGTCTTGTTACAACCACTGAGAAACAGGGAATAGCTATGAAGAGCTTTTCCATCATCTGGTTTAATGTGTGGCCAGTTGAATGCTTGGTTCATGTTGGCAGTTGCACTTCTCATTTCTTTACTATAATGATTAAACAGCAAACTTCTGGCCTCACTGTAGGCTTCCTGAGGATTTATGTGCTGGCAACTTCTTACCAAATCTCTGGGTTTAACTCCAATAAACTGTTCAAGGTAATGCAAACTGTCACTGCCCTGGACACCTTGACCTGGCTTCCTGAGGATAGGAGTCACTGAGGTGGCTTGAAGCTGGAAGCTGTTCCACTCCTGACTCCAACGAACAGTTGATGTCAACTGTAAGAGGGCACAGAGTAGGTAGACATGCTCTGACCAATGTTGTCTGCATGGGGTCCAGGGTGCATGTGGAGGATGTGGACTGAAAGACCCACTTGGTGACCTGGGAAGAATTCACAGACGAAAAAGGGGAGAAGTAGCATGGAGTTAGATGTGCTACGGGGAATGCCGTCCTGAAATTGATGTGCAGGTGCCAGAAGCTATTGATGGATGGAGTTAATTTTTCTTGGAAAAAGTCCAAAAACTTATTGCAGAGGTCAGTGGCACCTGAAAAGAGAGGTGGATCAATGGGGTGAAGTAGTTGGTTGATGGTGGAGAACACCAATCTGGGATGATTTTGCTGTTGGTGAGTGAGGGAAGAGTAATAATGAGTCTTGGCCTGAGAGAGAGCTGCTTAATAGGACCTCACATGGTCTTTATATGCCTCAAGGTGGACAGTGAGATCAGACCTTTTGTAGAGCCTCTCAAGTCGGTGGCCAGTGGTCTTTAGGTCACAGAGATGCGAGGTGAACCATGAGGCAGGGAAGGTAAAAGAGGCGGCCCGAGTTTTATGGGGGACAAGACAGTTGAGGCTGCTAGATACGGCCGCATTATAATGGTTAACAAGTGTGTCAACCATGTTGATGGGTGGGTCTGAAGCCAAGTGGGTTGCGATCAGATTGTTCAGGGCCAATGTACTGACAGCCTTAAACTTCCTGTATGGTATGCAATGGTACATTAAGTGCGCAGCCTAGGTACAGGAACAATAACAGAAAAGTACACACCAAGATAGTCAGAAACAGCAAGGTTCAAGCACTTCAGATTGGAAGTGGTAGTGTCGGAGGAGATAACTAGATCCAGCCTGTGACAACAACAACAACAATAGCAACAAACTTTATTTATATAGCACATTTAAAAACCAGTGGTGTACAAAAGTGCTTAACAAGAGGCTAAGATGAAGTAACAGGGAAGGATGAAAGCTATGGCAAAGTACCAAACATGCTAGCAGGTTAAATGGCATTAAAAACACAGAAGCAAAAGAAATGCATATAAAAGCATAAAAGAACAATATGTGTAAAGGATAAAACAGTCAAAAATGTAAAAAATGATTAAAATAGTTAAGAATAGACCAAAGATAGAAATAAGCATTAAACTAACTAACAAACAAGCATTAAATGGTAGAAAAGGCGAGACTAAATAAGTGGGTTTTTAACCACAATTTGAAAGATTGAATGGAATCAGAGTCGTGGATAACAATGGGGATGTTATTCCATAGATCGGGTGCAGCCAAGGCAAACGCTCGGTCACCTCTATAGTCTTCAGCCGGGATCTCGGCTGTACCAAAAGTGACTGAGAAGATGATCTTACTTGGCGCTATATTGTTAATAACTCGTAAGGTGAGCAGCAGGATTTTGAATTGAATGCGATACTTAACGGGAAGCCAATGCAAGTCGGCAAGGACAGGGGTGATAGAGACACGCCGCCCACTACCAGTAAGAAGACGAGCGGCCGCATTCTGAACAATTTGCAGTCTATGGAGAAGAGTAGAGTTAAGACCAAAGTAAAGGGAGTTGCAATAATCCAACCTAAATTTCACAAAGGCGTGGATAAGCTTTTCCAGGTCATTATGCGGGACATAATGTCTGGCCTTGCTAATAAGACGCAATTGATGGAAGCAAGTTTTGACAACAGAAGACACTTGCTTGTTGAGATTAAAAGAGCTATCCAAAAACACCCCCAGGTCACTAAGAGTGTCGGTGAGGAAACTATCAAAGGAACCAGAGGCACCACAGAGTTGGCCACGAGGGATACTACTGTCAAACACGATGATTTCAGTTTTCCTGTCATTTAGGATGAGAGAGTTACTCGCGAGCCAATTTTTGACCTCGCGCATGCACTCACGAAAACCGTGCAAAGACATAAAAAGTCCCACCTAACTCAGACGTAACTGATGATCCTTTTAATATACTATGTGAAAGAGAGAGTCCAGAAGTCACAGAAGTGTCATTGGCGGACAAAGACCTACTGGAGTCGACATACAGTAAATGTTTAAGTCACCAATTAGGAGTGAGGCTGGAGACAAAGAGCAAAGAGAGGTGAAAATCTCAGACAACTATGACATGACCACAGTACAAACTTTATTGGGGCGGTAGATGAAGATAATCTGGAGCTGTGTTGACACAGCCAGGGTGACATTAAAACACTCATAATAGGTAACACGCTGGATCTAGTTTTCTCCACCAACACTGCCACTTCCAATCTGAAATGCCTGTTTGCTGTTTCTGACCATCTTTCAGTCCACATCCTCCACATGCACCTTGGAGCCTTCAAAGGAAGTCAATCTTGCTGTCAGTAACGGTATGGTGGATTAGCATTGTTTTATTGTTGAGCATTCAACGGCATGAAAGATGCACTGTTTGTAGCTGATGATGAGACAGATGTGGAGGAAATGGTGCAGTCGATGCAAGCAACTTGTCTTAAGCTGCTCAACTAGTGGTAGTGGTAGTGTCATTGTTGTTGACTGGAACACCTGCCAGACAGTACAGAGAGAGCGACATTGTGCCAGTGCCTGTTAGACAGTGCAGAAGAATGTTCTGGACAGACAGCCTTATTAAAGCCTGTATTAAACCTTTTAACGATTTTTTAAAACTTCATTTGGTCTCTATTCTGGTTGTCAACCTGACGCTTTAAACCCTATCAGGTCTAGTATTATGTTGCCTCTGGTGGAACAGTTGACATCCTTTTGAAAGGCTGATAATGTTCTGTTCATGCAGACACAGGTAAATTCAGAAGTAATATGACAGTGGAATACTGGGCTAGCAGGCATTGTACAATTGATTATTGAATGTGCAACAAATTAACAGGAGAAGTAATATGACTGCATTCCAGCAGCTATGAATCCCATATTTGGGCCATAGAAATGCTACTTCATAGAACCATGCCCAATATTGCACCACTTATCTTCTTGTCACTCAAATAAAATATCTAACCCCCTAAAATGTTTCGAAGCCAGACCAGGCTATTGTTGCATTTTGGTCTGTGAGTTCAGTCACCTTTCCATGGAAAGGTCATAATCAGTGTTCTAATCTTATAATTTTTTTCGCCCGGTGAGATTTTTGGACACCCTAGTGACAAGGAAGTTGAATAGTCCAGCCTAGAATTTATAAACCAGAAACATCCTCTGACACATGTTTCTGATTTTGGCATTATGGTGCTCATGAAAGAAGTCAGTCTTAATTATTATTATTATTATTATTTAAAGGACACTTTATTGGTCAAAACGACTACAGGCTTCCTCAAGCAGTACAAGATGCCATGGTAATGCCATTTACTGTAAGTATCTGGTTAGGCACTCTTTCTGAGAATTCTAGATGCCAAATATGATAATTTCAGTTTTGTCCTAATTTCAATGTCCAGAGTTAAACATCATTAAGACCTTTATGGCCTTAGAGCATCTGGGATTTATAGATGAATTTATAAAGACAACTGGGTATAATTGAATAGCAACTTACATGTATGTGGTGTTTTCTGATAGTATTAAATAAGGTAATAAGAAAACTATCGATCCTTGCACAGAACCCTGTTGAACACCATGATTAACTGTTTGTCTGAGAAATACTCATTAAATTTACCAACTGAATCTATCAGAAATGATTAAAACAAGTGCTATGTATTTCTTTTATTGCTGAAGGTATATTGTAGTCTTTAGCAAAATGTTATGATTAACTGCAGTGAATACTACACTGAGGGCTAGCAGGACAAACACAAAGATGAGTCCACTGTCAGAAGCCATGCAAGGATACGTTGAGGACAAGTTTAAATCAGGACTAAAACAAAAATAAACTGTTCCTCTGCAATCATCATATAGCTGATACACAATTCTTTCAAGAGTTTAAGTTACAAAAGCCTCATCTTTTCCATATTGTCTTACACTTTAAACATGAGCAACTTTCAGATCCATTACAGCACATCAAAAATTGAAAAGGGTAGAAATATCTATGTGAAAAGCTCTGGTCGCAGACTTATTCTTCAGTGTATTATAGAAACCTCACTACAGACAGCACTGCAATTGTTACCCAACCAAATATGTACTCTACTTAGTGTGTGTTTGTGTATGTGTGTGTGTATTTACAGCTGAAAGCAGATGATGTGGACAGTCAGCTGAATGGAGCCGTCCTCTACTCCATTGTCAGTGGAGACAGACACAACCAGTTCCTCATTGACCCACTCAGTGGAGTCATCAAGGTCAACAAGCAACTGGACCGTGAGACTGTGAGGACACACTTCTACATAGAAAAACATCCACTTATCCTCTGTGCAGTTTGGTTTGGTGAAATTATTGGAGACAGGCCAATTGCGTCATTCATTATTCCTTATTGGGTCTGTATAGATTATGATGTAGGCTATGTGATTGGCTGACACCATTACCTGTTTTTTTTATACTTGTATTTGTGTACTCTACAGTTTGACTCCCCAAACAACAGTTAGCTGTTGAGTTTCTGTCTATGAGTTGAGCCTGTCGTGGCAGATGGACACCCCCCCAGCCTGATTCTGCCACAGGGGTCTTCCTGTTAAAAGGGAGTTTATCCTTCCCACTGTCACCAAACCGCTTGCTGATTCTTGGTGTTTTCTCTGTATTGTTGTAGAAACTTTGCCTTACAATACGAAACGCCTTGAGGTGACTGTTGGGATTTTGCACTATATATAAATATAATTGAAATTAAATAATTGAATCTTACGTCTTGCTACAATGTACAGTTAAAAGTCTATGGATATGTCCTTCTACATGCAGCCTGTAGTTTTCCCTGTCTTTTTTGTGACCATTGAAATGCTCCAACAGTAACTTCTTTCGTCTCCTACAACCTACACTGAGTTAAGGGGGGCATCAGGGTCTGCCCCTGCGGAAATCCACTACTAGCTCCTTGATTTTCCTCGCATTGATCAGGAGATGGTTCCGCCGGCACCTGTCCACAAAATCCTGAATCCACTGTCTGTACACTGCTTGACTCATCTGTGATGAGTCCTCAGGGAACTTTTTTAGATGGCAGCCTAGACGGTTGATGGAGAAGTCTGGAGTGTAGAGAGTGAACAGGAATTGTGCTAGCACAGTTGCAGGGCATCCCGTACTGCAGACCAGGCTGTCAGAGATACAGCCTTGTGTCCTCACATACTGTGGGCAGCCAGTGAGTCCAGTATCAACTGGGACAGTAAGTGGTCTGCTCCTGACAGCCCCAGTATGTCCCTCAGAAGTCCATGCTGGATGGTGTCCTCACAGTGCTTCCAGTCTTCTCCAGGTGGGTCAAAGCTCAGTGCAGGAGATAGATGATGGCATCATCCACCCCGATGCTAGGCTGTACCACACAGGAGGTCTTTCATACCCATGGTACTTTCTCTAGCTTCAGGCTAATGTTGAAAATGTATCCCATGATGCCACACAGTTGGTCTATGCAGTACCTCAGGAGCCTGGGGCTGATGTGATTC